TGTAACCATCAGTATCACCACTAGTGTTAACCATCAGTATCACCACTAGTGTAACCGTCAGTATCACCACTAGTGTAACCATCAGTATCACCACTAGTGTAACCATCAGTATTCACCACTAGTGTAACTATTACAACTAGTGTAAACAGTATCACACTAGGTAACCATCAGTATCACCACTAGTGTAACTATCAGTATCACCACTAGTGTAACTATCAGTATCACCACTAGTGTAACTATCAGTATCACCACTAGTGTAACCATCAGTATCACCACTAGTGTAACCATCAGTATCACCACTAGTGTAACCATCAGTATCACCACTAGTGTAACCATCAGTATCACCACTAGTGTAACCATCAGTATCACCCCACTAGTGTAACCATCAGTATCACCACTAGTGTAACCATCAGTATCACCACTAGTGTAACCATCAGTATCACCACTAGTGTAACCATCATATCAGTAGTGTAACACAGTATCACACTAGTGTAACCATCAGTATCACCACTAGTGTAACCATCAGTATCACCACTAGTGTAACCATCAGTATCACCACTAGTGTAACCATCAGTATCACCACTAGTGTAACCATCAGTATCACCACTAGTGTAACCATCAGTATCACCACTAGTGTAACCATCAGTATCACCACTAGTGTAACTATCAGTATCACCACTAGTGTAACCATCAGTATCACCACTAGTGTAACCTTCGGTATTACCACTAGTGTAACCATCAGTATCACCACTAGTGTAACCATCAGTATCACCACTAGTGTAACCATCAGTATCACCACTAGTGTAACCATCAGTATCACCACTAGTGTAACCATCAGTATCACCACTAGTGTAACTATCAGTATCACCACTAGTGTAACTATCAGTATCACCACTAGTGTAACTATCAGTATCACCACTAGTGTAACCATCAGTATCACCACTAGTGTAACCATCAGTATCACCACTAGTGTAACCATCAGTATCACCACTAGTGTAACCATCAGTATCACCACTAGTGTAACCATCAGTATCACCACTAGTGTAACCATCAGTATCACCACTAGTGTAACCATCAGTATCACCACTAGTGTAACCATCAGTATCACCACTAGTGTGTATCACCATCATCAGTATCACCACTAGTGTAACCATCAGTATCACCACTAGTGTAACCATCAGTATCACCACTAGTGTAACCATCAGTATCACCACTAGTGTAACCATCAGTATCACCATAGTGTAACCATCAGTATCACCACTAGTGTAACCATCAGTAACCATCACTAGTGTAACCATCAGTACCACTAGTGTAACCATCAGTATCACCACTAGTGTAACCATCAGTATCACCACTAGTGTAACCATCAGTATCACCACTAGTGTAACCATCAGTATCACCACTAGTGTAACCATCAGTATCACCACTAGTGTAACCATCAGTATCACCACTAGTGTAACTATCAGTATCACCACTAGTGTAACCATCAGTATCACCACTAGTGTAACCATCAGTATCACCACTAGTGTAACCATCAGTATCACCACTAGTGTAACCATCAGTATCACCACTAGTGTAAACCATCAGTATCACCACTAGTGTAACCATCAGTATCACCACTAGTGTAACTATCAGTATCACCACTAGTGTAACCATCAGTATCACCACTAGTGTAACCATCAGTATCACCACTAGTGTAACCATCAGTATCACCACTAGTGTAACCATCAGTATCACCACTAGTGTAACCATCAGTATCACCACTAGTGTAACCATCAGTATCACCACTAGTGTAACCATCAGTATCACCACTAGTGTAACCACAGTATCACCACTAGTGTAACCATCAGTATCACCACTAGTGTAACCATCAGTATCACCACTAGTGTAACCATCAGTATCACCACTAGTGTAACCATCAGTATCACCACTAGTGTAACCATCAGTATCACCACTAGTGTAACCATCATATCACCACTAGTGTAACCATCAGTATCACCACTAGTGTAACCATCAGTATCACCACTAGTGTAACCATCCATCAGTGTATCACCACTAGTGTAACCATCAGTATCACCACTAGTGTAACCATCAGTATCACCACTAGTGTAACCATCAGTATCACCACTAGTGTAACCATCAGTATCACCACTAGTGTAACCATCAGTATCACCACTAGTGTAACCATCAGTATCACCACTAGTGTAACCATCAGTATCACCACTAGTGTAACCATCAGTATCACCACTAGTGTAACCATCAGTATCACCACTAGTGTAACTATCAGTATCACCACTAGTGTAACCCATCAGTATCACCACTAGTGTAACCATCAGTATCACCACTAGTGTAACTATCAGTATCACCACTAGTGTAACCATCAGTATCACCACTAGTGTAACCATCAGTATCACCACTAGTGTAACCATCAGTATCACCACTAGTGTAACCATCAGTATCACCACTAGTGTAACCATCAGTATCACCACTAGTGTAACCATCAGTATCACCACTAGTGTAACCATCAGTATCACCACTAGTGTAACCATCAGTATCACCACTAGTGTAACCATCAGTATCACCACTAGTGTAACCATCAGTATCACCACTAGTGTAACCATCAGTATCACCACTAGTGTAACTATCAGTATCACCACTAGTGTAACCATCAGTATCACCATAGTGTAACCACTAGTGTAACCATCAGTATCACCACTAGTGTAACCATCAGTATCACCACTAGTGTAACCATCAGTATCACCACTAGTGTAACCATCAGTATCACACCACTAGTGTAACCATCAGTATCACCACTAGTGTAACCATCAGTATCACCACTAGTGTAACCATCAGTATCACCACTAGTGTAACCATCAGTATCACCACTAGTGTAACTATCAGTATCACCACTAGTGTAACCATCAGTATCACCACTAGTGTAACCATCAGTATCACCACTAGTGTAACCATCAGTATCACCACTAGTGTAACCATCATATCACCACTAGTGTCACCACAGTAGTGTAACCATCAGTATCACCACTAGTGTAACCATCAGTATCACCACTAGTGTAACCATCAGTATCACCACTAGTGTAACCATCAGTATCACCACTAGTGTAACCATCAGTATCACCACTAGTGTAACCATCAGTATCACCACTAGTGTAACCATCAGTATCACCACTAGTGTAACCATCAGTATCACCACTAGTGTAACCATCAGTATCACCACTAGTGTAACCATCAGTATCACTAGTGTAACCATCAGTATCACCACTAGTGTAACCATCAGTATCACCACTAGTGTAACCATCAGTATCACCACTAGTGTAACCATCAGTATCACCACTAGTGTAACCATCAGTATCACCACTAGTGTAACCATCAGTATCACCACTAGTGTAACCATCAGTATCACCACTAGTGTAACCATCAGTATCACCACTAGTGTAACCATCAGTATCACCACTAGTGTAACCATCAGTATCACCACTAGTGTAACCATCAGTATCACCACTAGTGTAACCATCAGTATCACCACTAGTGTAACCATCAGTATCACCACTAGTGTAACTCATCACCACTAGTAACCATCACACCACTAGTGTAACCATCAGTATCACCACTAGTGTAACCATCAGTATCACCACTAGTGTAACCAGTATCACCACTAGTGTAACCATCAGTATCACCACTAGTGTAACCATCAGTATCACCACTAGTGTAACCATCAGTATCACCACTAGTGTAACCATCAGTATCACCACTAGTGTAACCATCAGTATCACCACTAGTGTAACCATCAGTATCACCACTAGTGTAACCATCATATCACCACTAGTGTAACCATCAGTATCACCACTAGTGTAACCATCAGTATCACCACTAGTGTAACCATCAGTATCACCACTAGTGTAAACCATCAGTATCACCACTAGTGTAACCATCAGTATCACCACTAGTGTAACCATCAGTATCACCACTAGTGTAACCATCAGTATCACCACTAGTGTAACCATCAGTATCACCACTAGTGTAACCATCAGTATCACAGTATCACTACTAGTGTAACCATCAGTATCACCACTAGTGTAACCATCAGTATCACCACTAGTGTAACCATCAGTATCACCACTAGTGTAACCATCAGTATCACCACTAGTGTAACCATCAGTATCACCACTAGTGTAACCATCAGTATCACCACTAGTGTAACCATCAGTATCACCACTAGTGTAACCATCAGTATCACCACTAGTGTAACCATCAGTATCACCACTAGTGTAACCATCAGTATCACCACTAGTGTAACCATCAGTATCACCACTAGTGTAACCATCAGTATCACCACTAGTGTAACCATCAGTATCACCACTAGTGTAACCATCAGTATCACCACTAGTGTAACCATCAGTATCACCACTAGTGTAACCATCAGTATCACCACTAGTGTAACCATCAGTATCACCACTAGTGTAACCATCAGTATCACCACTAGTGTAACCATAGTATCATCACTAGTGTAATCACCACTAGTGTAACCATCAGTATCACCACTAGTGTAACCATCAGTATCACCACTAGTAGTGCAACCATCAGTATCACCACTAGTGTAACCATCAGTATCACCACTAGTGTAACCATCAGTATCACCACTAGTGTAACCATCAGTATCACCACTAGTGTAACCATCAGTATCACCACTAGTGTAACCATCAGTATCACCACTAGTGTAACCATCAGTATCACCACTAGTGTAACCATCAGTATCACCACTAGTGTAACCATCAGTATCACCACTAGTGTAACCATCAGTATCACCACTAGTGTAACCATCAGTATCACCACTAGTGTAACCATCAGTATCACCACTAGTGTAACTATCAGTATCACCACTAGTGTAACCATCAGTATCACTACTAGTGCAACCATCAGTATCACCACTAGTGTAACCATCAGTATCACCACTAGTGTAACTATCAGTATCACCACTAGTGTAACCATCAGTATTACCACTAGTGTAACCATCAGTATCACCACTAGTGCAACCATCAGTATCACCACTAGTGTAACCATCAGTATCACCACTAGTGTAACCATCAGGATCACCACTAGTGTAACCATCAGGATCACCACTAGTGTAACCGTCGGTATCACCACTAGTGTAACCATCAGTATCACCACTAGTGTAACCATCAGTATCACCACTAGTGTAACTATCAGTATCACCACTAGTGTAACCATCAGTATCACCACTAGTGTAACCATCAGTATCACCACTAGTGTAACCATCAGTATCACCACTAGTGTAACCATCAGTATCACCACTAGTGTAACCATCAGTATCGCCACTAGTGTAACCATCAGTATCACCACTAGTATAACAATCAGCAACACCACTAGTGTAACCATCAGTATCACCACTAGTGTAACCATCAGTATCACCACTAGTGTAACTATCAGTATCACCACTAGTGTAACCATCAGTATCACCACTAGTGTAACCATCAGTATCACCACTAGTGTAACCATCAGTATCATCACTAGTGTAACCATTAGTATAACCTCTAGTGTAACAATCAGTATCACTACTAGTGTAACCATCAGTATCACCACTAGTGTAAACATTAGTATCACCAATAGTATCACCAACATCACAATTAAGGGAATTTCTATAACATTACGATAATAATAACAGTCAGAATCAACACCATAACAATCTGTATCATCACCAGAATAACAATCCGAATCAATTCCAGAATGAGCGCCATCTCATTAATCAGAATTACCATTAAACTCAGCATAAGAATCACAGTCAGAATCAACATCACTACATCAAACATCTCAAATATGTCTTCAGCGGCCATGGCTACAGCCCCACATGTGGTCAGTGGAACGGTCCGCTGCAATGACCAGTACAACTTCCACCTGGAGAACCAGGCAGCCTTGTGTATCCCTACGGACACGGGAGGTATGGACATCATGGCCACCACCCAATGGCAGGACACTTGCATAGAGACAGTCTCGCAAATTCTGGGAATACCCGAGTCCAGGTAATACACGTATTTCTTCCTCTAAATCTGGAGTGAGTAATCTTTTAGTAGTCTCATGCAGAAGTAATGTTGTAAAGGCACGCAGTGAGCCAACTTAAGTTCATCACTTGTTTCATGCATTTGTTGAAATAAAATAAATCGACCTCAGAAATATTTATAAATCTCTCTGTAGTTTAATGAGATCAAATATTGTGCTTCAATTCTCGCAGCGTGCCATTGATAATCGTTCCACAAGCCACCCTTCACAAGTGTTCATAAGGTCATAAGGTGGCTGATTTCTACCCTACACAATTTTTAAATGTGTGCTTACTTGTCATTTCCAGAAAACAAACATTTATCTCAAATAGACAAAACAAAGATAATTGTAAAAAGTAAAGCAATTGATAACACACTTAATGTTCTTTGGTGATGCCTCACGTCAACGAGTTGAGGTAGATGATTTATCTTAGTAGCAACGTAGACAATGACGAGGAGCAGATACAATTATTTAAAAAAAAAAAAGAATAGGACTATGAAAGTGAAAATGATCAGTTAGGATTACCATTACAGCACACCGGACAGATCCGATGCTTCCATCTCCTCCTCAAAAGCTCCATAAGTGTAAAACGACTGATGACGTCCGTTCTGTGTTGATTAATCAAACGTCTGATCCACTTGGTGAAATGTTTATTTTTTGCAACTCCACGCTACACTCCCCCCCCCCCCCACCCTCTCCCCCATGCTCATCAGTCTAAACAGGGATAGAGAGTCGTGCCCTTTGGCGTGGCCGTCGTCACTGTACGTGCTGCGCATGGGCATTGGACTAGATCGGGTCTGTCATAACAACCGCAGTGTCTGCAATATAATCTCCACGCTTGTTCCTTTGAACACCTGCATGACCTGGCACAAAAATGGTTAGAGCAGCCATCTGCGAAGTGTTGCAATCCATTCTTGTCTGATAAAACCAACCTTGATATTTTAGGCGATCTCAACGAAACATGTTTCTATTTAACTGCAACATTTACTGGTGACCTACCTCTTCTGAAATCTTTCTGTCTTTCCATTGCGACAGTGTTATATTGTTATATATAGAAAGCATGAGAATCCCAGCCCATTGCGATGGCGAGTGCGACTGGCAATATCCATTCCTTTCCTCTTTTTTTTTTTTAGTGCATGCGATTTCAGAACATTTCGCCTTCCCATCTATTCAAAGACGGCGTAAGAGTAGGGATGATGTTCCTCCACTCCATAATGCAAAACCTAGGCATTATGATAGAGACCATCATGGTCTGCCTTCAGCTGTTTATAATATTTAACTGATGGTCTGCTGTTTCTCTTTGTGTATAACATTTAACTGATAACCTGTCTGTTTCTGTTTAATCAAAACATTTAGCTGATGACCTGTCTGTTTCTCTATAACATCAAGGTGATGAACTCTCTGTTTATCCTTATGTATAACATTTAACTGATGATTTGTTTTGTTTTTGCTTAATCATAACATTTAGTTGATGACCTGTCTGTTTCTGTTTACGTATAACAACAAGGTGATGAACTCTCTGTTTATCTTTATGTAGAACATGTAACTGAGGACCTGTCTGTTTCTGTTTAATCAAAACATTTAGCTGATGACCTGTTTGTCTCTGTTTAAGTATCCTACACAACTAAAAGCTTGTTTTTTGCTGTCTGTGTTAAACATTTCACCTCGTCTATCTTGTCCCCAGGATCAGCGTGGAGACCCAACGTCTGGGTGGCGGTTTTGGCGGAAAGATCTACTACAACGCCCCAGTGTGTGGCATGGCAGCTCTGGCTGCCTACGTCACCAATAGGTGGGTAGACATAGGTAGATATAGGTAGACATGGTAGACATTGGTAGACATATACAACTATTGAATGTGCTCAATACTAATGGAAAGTGTGTTGTTCCCAGAAAACGTGCAGCGATTTTTTTCCTGCAAGGAAATTCTGTTTAATTATAGAACATATGTGATCGTTCTAAAAAGTATGTGATTAATGAACAGGTTATTTTTCAAATCAATTTTACAAAATATGTTTTAGCGCTTGAAAGTAAGTGTTAATTTGAGCAAAAAAAGACACATTTTAACGCTTTGAGTAAATGGGTGCTAACATTATACTTTAGACTCATCAACACTAGACAGGTGATATGATCAATATGGATGTGCCGAGTAAGTTTATTTCCCATGGCAAACGGCTTGATCACTTCGACATGGAGGTTCTTGAGGTTGGTTTTACTCGACCCGAACTATCAGGCTGATCCAGCCTAAAATTGTTGCCAGGAATATTCATGGGAAGTCCTGGCATAGAAGACGTTGCCCACGTGACCCCATGACAAGCAGATATAAATGTTAACCGCTAGCCACCACGCATCGACGTCCATGTGGCTCACTGGTCAACCAATGAATGATTCGGTCGCAGGTCTGGAAATCATCGGGTCTCCACATTACATCAACACTGCAAGTGTATTTTATTCAGGGCTGCTTGGTGACCATTTGTTTCTAGCCATGAACATGGCGATAATGAATACTGACTACAATATACCCGACAGCCGCTGCGGTGTAGTGGCTAGAGGATGGCCTGAGGGTCCAAAGGTCGTGAGTTCAAGTCCTGACCCTGGCTCACAAGTCGACTTAGCCTAAAATGGGAACCAGATAAAGTCCTAAGAATTCAAGGCGGTCTGTGTGGTAGCATCACCCACCGAGCGCCGATTGATCTATTAAATATAGGTCTAGCTGGATATGTCTAATATTTTTGAAGGCGTAAAATATAGCCCTTCACTTTACTTTACTTGTACTTGACAATGAACTTTGAACTTGTCCACTACCCTATCGAGTAGTTCTTCGGGCGCAGTGGGTCATCATTTGTATGAGCTTAACAAGTTCCCTTCATTGTATCACACCACCAATTGAATTTTTTCAGGAAATTGTGAGAATTCAGACGCCACTAACTTTACAAGACCGAGTTGATTTGAAGGGCATTCTGGGTAACTCTCCAAGGGAATCATTGGCCACTGTGAAAAATTCACGAATACGTAATATTCAGACAGGCAAATTACGAAATGGAAGTAAGCAATATAGGAGCCAGATTTTTTTTTAAACGTGCTGTATCGAATTGTGAACTGGGAGTGAAAACATCACTGTGATTTATGTAGCAAAGTCCGTTACGCATCACACGCTGTATGGGACTGAACGAATATGCTATTTCTAGTCACCCACTGACTGCAGACTGGTCTATGAAGATATAAGTCTAACATTGTATGCCCGACTTGCGTAAAAAAAAAAACGTTTTTTACTGAACTTCTTTACTTCTGGACAATAATGCCTGGTCAATGTTAGTAAATTTACTATACACTGTGTCAGCAAGATTCATACATAACTCCAGCTAGGCCTGTCTGTCTCTAACCTCACAGACCAGTGCTGATGAACCTAGATCTTCACACAAACATGCAGTCCCAAGGAAAGAGGACACACTACGTCTTTGAGTATCAAGTAAGTTGTCTGCCTATTTTGTCAAAGTAGTCTGCCTGTTTTGTCAAAGTTGTCTGCCTATTTTGTCAAAGTATGCCTATTTTGTCAAACTTTGATCGATTAATCTGCTTTTCAGTCCCCATGCTGCTACTTACAGTTTTACCATACCATCTTAAGATATTTCAAAATCCCAATCTTAAAGCAGATCGACAAGACAGATCCTATATACCCCCTTCAATCCCCAAAGAAGTTATAATTAGAGCTCCTGTACCGACAACACCAGCCGGTGTAACCTGCAGTCTTGTGCGGGTTAGGACGATTGTGTACACACATTACCAATGTGAAATGCTACTGTAAATATATATATTAGTCGTCCCCTCGTGGGATGCAAATTTTTTTAATTTTTTTTTTTTTTGCCGGGGCCCTGAATATAGCTGGGCCATAAATATGACCTAGCCTTAGGTTTGGCCTAACGGCTGAAAGAGTTTCTGGGACCTTTCCACGGGAGGGCTGTGGAGCAAGTCCTATGTGCCGTATGTTGACATTACATGATGTGATGGTGATGATAATGATGATGATGATGGTGATAAGGAAAACAAAAATGATGATGATGATGCAATACTGAAATTACCTTTGATTTACTCGCGCTTTCGTGTCTTTTCAAAATTAAAAAAAGAAGAGGAAGGTGATGATGAGGAAATTAGCGAAGATGAAAGAAAATAAGGAAGACGAAGAAGGCGAAACAGAAAAAGAGAATATACATTATTCACATTTCGAGGAGATATATTTGCCAATGTTGTTTCCCTGGTGTTGTTTGCAGGTAGGATTTGATGACGACGGGAGAATTATCGCTATCGTGGCTACAGGCTATGGTGATGTTGGAGCCCTTCTGTTCAATAAAGGAGACGAGTACACGGTCGGATACATCGACAATGGTTATTATCATCAATGTTACATTGTCGCTTCCGTCTCAGTTCATATCTCATCCTTTACTACTTTCTTACTTCTTCTTTCTCTGCTGCTGTTTGAAGTTGTCCTCTGTATCACTGTACCAGTCTTCTTCTTCTTCTTCTTCGCGTTTATCAGCTGTAACTGTAAACTCTGGCGGAAAGTTTTGGTTGTTCATCCAAGCCTGGACTGAAGTCCTGTTCCAGAACCTGAGTGTAGCGCGGGCATCCGTTTTAGATCTGACTCGTTTGTATGCAGACTGATGGTTTTTTGCCTCTCAGGCAGATGCAATCCGACTCTGAAGGAAGCTCCCAATTAGTCGACTCATAGGACATGCTTTTGGGTAGGCAGTGGGTCTATTCCTGTTTTCCCTATAACAGGGCCCTGGAACTCACACAGGCAACTGTACCAGTCAAACAAACAACAAAGAATCCTTTTTACCCCAGTGGTAGATAGGGCATATGATGCTAGACTCGTTTGTTAGATCAACCGGCACTCTGTGGGTGGTGCCCTAAACATCGCGCCGGCCACTTTTACTTCCCATGACATTACCTGTTACATAATTTAGGCCGGGTCGATCTAAAAGTCAAGATCAATTTTGAAATAACCATCACGACGCAGGTTTTAACCCACGACCTTCCAGCCTTCAGGCTAGTGTGTAGTTGTCGTAAGGGTCCCATCACATTGGTTTGTCCAGGGGCCTATAATGCTGTTTCGGCAGCTCTGCGCGGCTCCCATTTGTATCGCTGACTGTTTGGACAGTCTTATTGACAATGTTGTGAGTCAGATGTCCATGTGCAACAAGAGCTCTCACGGGAGGCACAAAATACCACCATTGAAACCTACTATGTATGTGTAATGGAGTGAGTGTCCGGATTAAATAACTATATATGGTTATCACCACATTTCCCATGCTCCACAGGCGGTTTCTTTGAGAAGAAAGAATCCAACCCCGCTCCTAACAAGTAGATAACAAAGTTTATGCTAACACAGAATGTTATTCAAAGACGATAGCTTATTTTTCACTAGAGAATAGCATTATTATTTTAGTCTCCCAGTTGATTATCTAGTCAATTGTGGCAACGACTTGGCCATGTATGAAACTAACAGACGATCTCCAGCAGACACAATTTCCCCTGGCGTAAATAGGTAATTACCCAACAGAATTGTTTTAATTAATCACAGACACACAGGAAACATCCCCTGTTGTGGAAAAACATTGTTATCTAGACTGTCATTTGGTTACCGGGAAACTGGGCTAGAATATGACAATAAGTGTCAAATTCCAAGACGGGACAACGGACAGACGCCCGGACATTCCTGACATGGTTACCGGTAGAAAGAAACAGAAGAATATTTAAGACCTTGCACGGTTCAGGAAACGGTTAAAATGAGACAGCTGTAGCAAATTAATTCTTGGAAATGAACCCAGCCAAGTTCACGGCTCGGCAGACGGACCGTCTGACAAAGACAAGAGGAATATGTAAATGCAGAATGATAGTGCGGCGTATGACTATTGTATAAAACTATAAAGGAAACCAAAGAAGCATAGACAGAAAGCAAGAGAAACAGAGTGGACCAGCTGAAGCCTGCCTCTCTCAGGACATACTTGTGCAGAATCATTAGAGACTAGGATGACACGACGATTTTTTTTTAGAAGTGGATTCATTTTTTATGTTGGAGGAACTTTTCTGTTCTATTAAGCCATCATAGTGAAGAGGTAGTATACTTCTGCAAATTCTTGTAAAGGAATACACATCTAACTTGATATTATATAGTTGACAGCTCTGTCACAAGTGTTCATGTTATCAAAGTATTACATCTACATATATCTTGACAGTATTCAATTTGTTTCTGTTCATTCTGCGGAGTTTAAAAAAAAAAATTATTTTCACAATTTTCTTCTTGGACATTCCGAGGTCTTGATGTTCACTGCTGTAGTTATTATCCGTCCCAGCTCACCTCTGTCATCGACCTTCTCTGTCCAGTTGCTGAATCCAAGTGATTTCCCGTCTCTCTGTATATGATCTCTATCAAGTCTTCTTGGTCTGCCAGTGATCCACTTCTATTGAACTCTTTTGTGTACGCAGACTTTGTCCGGAAGTCTGCTATTTTCTACACATAACACAAATTTGGCAGTCTATTAACTGGCATGTTGTTACTAATGAGTAGTAATTTGAACAGATCAAGAATTGCGATGTTTTTTTTTTCCTTTTCTTCTTTACTTATTCTTTTATCGCTATAGGTGTAGATGAAAATATAAGGTTCTGCTTCTGTCTCTTCTGGTGCCTTTATCATTGACGCATAGTGCTGCTTTAGAGAGATGTTTTCTTTCCATCTTGTTCTTATCTACCTAGTTCCTACACCTATATTGGTGTATACTGTATGGTATGGCACCACACGATATTCTTCTAAGTGGCCAAACTATGTTACAACTATTGATTTTACAATATATAGATGCGTTGCTTTTCTTAAAGTTTGTAAATATAATATTTATAAATTAATTTATCACCCATATTGGGCCGATTGGTCTTTAAAGGTATAGGTATAGCCCTATATGCCCTATACGCCTAAAGGCGTGCAAAAGGTTACTTTACTTTTTACTTACTTAGTGTGATCATTTTAGTAACTGTGAACACTATTGATAGTTTTTAAATGCTAATCTTGTTCCCAGTCTACAACATCCCTAACTTCAAATGGACAGTGCAGCCGGTGAAGACAAACAAGCCAGTCAGTACTGCAGTCAGAGCCCCAGGTCAGTTCCGTTTCTGTTGTGTTGTTCTGTATCAGGTTAAGGTATTCCAGTATTTGCACTGACCACTTTACCGACCGTCAAATGCCAACAGAACTGTAGAATGTTTAAGTTATACATTGTTAGAGAAGATACAGAAAACTAAAAAGAAGATAGACGTGTCCAAAGAGCAGTGCACAGAATGGACGTTTCTGTAACACATTATTTTGCTTATTAAAAAACAAAAACAAATGGAAATTTTTACCACTGCAGTTATAAGTTATAACTAATCTAACAGTTCATAGTTATTAGTCAGGAACCAACATTTTAGCGCTCGGTACATTCCCACAAGCGCTTTGTCCTCATCTTCAGCAGCAAGCGCAGAGTTCCAGTTTAGATGGTACTAGTAACAGGCTGATTGTTCGTTTCGCCTTTCTCCTGAGTGTTAAGTGTCGACCAGATCTCCTAGTCGCTCCTCGCTACAGCATCTTTAATTGTGATCATCTGTTTGTCTTTACAACGTTGTTAACAAAAGTCTGCTTGCAAATAAGTCTTATCTGTAAAACGGATGTGCGTGCAACACTCAGGTTCTAGAACAAGACTAAAGTCTGGAGGTGGACGAACACCCAGAACTTTCCGCCCGAGTTAACAACCGGTGAACGCGAAGAAGTTACAACTGTCATCATGTCATCACTACACAAAAGTCTTCATTTTTTTTTCCACTACTGAATCAAGAAACTGTTCGTGTTTCCAAAGACTCAAAACTAATTGTGACTAAATGTCAAATTTTGTGAATTTGCTGGGCAAGTTGTATTTGAATGTGACTGTGTGGTGTAATAACCAGGTACCGCCCCTGCCATTTATGGCATGGAATGCATGATTGACCATGTGGCCACTTATCTCAAGAAAGATCATTTGCAAGTCAGAAAACTCAACTTGATGCAAGATGGAGATGTAAGTATACAGTACTAGTATGTTTGTCATCTGCACATCTGCAGTAGTTCATTTATTTATGGTTTCTGATACAGTTAACGTATATAATGTCTAATATGTTTAACACATACAGAATATCTGATGTGGTTACAAATACAGAATATAATATATTGTTAACATATCCAGAATATCTTATGTAGGTGTAGGCAGAGACAATGGTGATAGAAAGGCGAAAGACAATTTAGCAGTAAGAATTTTTTTTTTTTTAAACCTAAGACAAATAGAGGAATGTACTATTTGGGAGTAATTTTCACATCCGACGGAAAACTGGACAGAGAAATTAGCTCAAGATGTGCCAAAGCTAATCAAGAACTGGGGCAGCTATCTCCCCTGTTGACACACAAGCAGATATCTCAGAGTACTAAAGTGAATCTTATCAGAACTATTTTTTTGTCAACACTACGCTATCAGTGCCAAACGTGGACACTTATATCCTCCAATGAACCAAAAATTGTGACGACAGAGATTAAATGCCTTAGAAGAGCTGCAGGAGTAAAACTTGTTTTCAAAAACGACCTTAACTCCCAGGTCAACCCAGGAAAGACAAAATACGAAATCACGAAATCAGACGAATGCTAGGAATACAGCCAGTCGTACAAGTCATCAAAGAACAACAAAATAATGCCCTGGTACTATCAAAAAGTCGTTGGTTAGATCCTTGGCAAATCCAGACTTTTTTGAAAATTTACCCAACTCCCAGGTCGACCCAGCCTTGAGTGGGTACCTGGTGCCGTCTCGGGAAGTAAAGGCGGTTGGCGTGACGCTGACCACATCACCTACCTTGTGCCGACTGGTCTATACAAATGTAGGTCTAGCCCTATACGCCCTATACGCCTAGAGGCGTGGTAAAGGGACCTTTCTTTTACTATATTCTAAAATGCATAAAGAAATAGTGAACGAATGCAAAGAAGCTAAAGAAATCTGGCTGAATCAGATGTGCTCTCTTTGAAGCAAACCTAAAACTCTATGTCTATAATCAATTTTCCTGCCCTACGTGCTTTCCTAGCCCTTGCATCTTCGGCGTCAGGTATCCACATCTGCGTAGGTCGGCCTCTGCCTAGTTTTACAGAAACTGCCCCCCCCCCTTTTTTCCAACTCCCCCCCCCCCACCCTCAAATCATCGTTTTCTCCAATCTGCCATGGTGCTCAATATGGTCTAAATATGTCCGTTGTCAAGACAAATGATTTTGATGAGCCAATTCTTCTTGATGTTCAAATTGTTAAGGAATTAAGTGTTTGTCTTCTTCTTGATCTACTGTATTACACCGATTTTCTTTAGCATTTCAGTTCAAAGGCTCTTATGTTGTTCTTCAAGGAATAAGAGTTCATGACTTACACAATAATACCTGCAATATTGAAACACTCATTAACATCTTAGACAGTCAATAATGCAAGTGTGTATCTCTGCAGACAACACTGGCTGGGGTTGTGCTGGAGCACTGTCTGATCAAGGATGTTGTGGCTCAGTTGGAAGCACAAGTCAACATCGCCCAGAGACTACAAGCTGTCAGCGACTTCAACAAGGTACAATTAAGTGCTTTATCTCATTGATGACTTTATTTCATTGATGACTTCATTTCATTGATGTCGTTATTTCATTGATGACGTTATTTCATTGATGACGTTATTTCATTAATGACTATTTCATTGATGACTTTATTTCATTGATGACATGTTTTGCCTCATAATTTCACTCTTTCAGTTCTAGTAATAAAAAGCACATGTCTCAGAAATGGAAATAAGTAAACAAGAACAGTATGTTAGTTTCAAAGATGGAACCAATGGGGCATGTTAAAATATCATATGTCTTCTGCATAATCAGAAGAAGCGTAAAGAATGTATGAACACAAAGAATGATGCTGAATATAGATGGACAGTAACTGCTCACGCATGGTATGTTCCCTGGGACTGGAGGAGTTAAACTTTATCGTAGAACTTTTAGCTTTCTCTTCAGCTGATATTAACCAATGTGACCTAACTTTAACCTGTATCGCCAAGTTCTTGTATTTCTCACAAAACTGTAATATCTCATTTAACCCAGTATGGTGGCCTTTTCTGTTCAGGATGGCGGGTACTGTTGCGGGTGCAATGCCGGCGCTCGCAATCGACCGTTTGCGCCAGTATGAGCTTCAATTCTGTTAAGTGTTGGCACATCTGACAGCTGCCTTATGTATTGTTTTATAATTTTGACATTCAAAATCGTGGTGATTAAATGTGTGCAAAGTTCATACAGCAAAAGATGCCTTAGGGTTCAACCAATCAATTGACAGCACTTCTGCATCTCGGTCACTATCGCATTCTCGCGTAGGGCTTTTCGGTCAACTAATAAAAACATGTCATCGGATAACTGCGGGGGGGGGGGGGGGTTTTTGATTTGGGGGGGGGGGATAACAGTAACAACTTACGCTTTGTATTACGGCATAAGACGACGATGCGGGATTGATTCACAAACACTATACTTCCACATTTTAACTGTCTTGGAAAAGGAGGGAGGTGGGAGGGGGGGGGGGGAGTGGTAACCCGTGGAAATATAGTCAAGCCGTTTGCCACGCGCTCTGAAAGTCGTGAGTTCAAAACATTCACTGCTACGCCCTTCAGTTTATGGCCTGAATGATTGAATGAACATTAAGGAAGATATGACGACTAACATGATGGTGTGTCCAAACACATTAGTTCCTACATCCATACTCTGTCCTCGTCCAGAGATTCAACTTTCGAACTTCTGTATTATCATCATCAAGTGCCTTGTCGACTGGTGTGGACGATCATGCCACACCACAATCCGTGATCCGCACCAGCACGTCTCAATTATTAACGTCTATGTCTAAATACGATTGGTTTAAAGGCATGATATACTAGGAAAAATACAGCTGTTTTTTTTTTTTTTTTTGCCTTCGCTCGGGTCTTTTGTTTGTTATAGTTTAACCCCAACAGCCTTTGTCCAAAGAGGCATACCCAGCAATGCAGAAAGTTTTAGATGTTGAAGTGACGCCTTTTTTTCAGAACTAGAGTCTTACATGCACATTTGTTTTACACGTCTGGCTTACTTGTATAAAGTACGTTGTTTCCGTCCCCTCTGAGGTAGACGCATATGTACTTCCAAGGAAACACCGCTAGATAGTAGAATTTTACGACAAGATTTTGAGAGGGGCAATGATGCTGTTCTTGTTTTCCCTTCAGATCGGGCCCCGGGACCCACACGGAGAGTTCTGGTCGAAACATGTGAACATATTTCTCAGTGTATTTCATTGATGTACAGGGTTTCCGAACAACTGAACCTAACAGCATCTTCTCGTCTCTCAGAACAATCGCTGGAGGAAGCGGGGGTTCCACGTGATGCCGAACAGATACGCCATGGTCTGGGAGGGCAGATTCTACACCACGTCCATCTATGTCAACCATGGAGATGGTAGTGTCCACATCTGTCACGGTGGAGTGGACATGGGTCAAGGAATCAACACAAAGGTAACATCACCTGGATGTAGGAGTGCTAGAACTATTTGTTATAACTCTAAATAAATACATAACGACTCACTGAATCAACATTAAATTCCAGTCTATTGCTTAGGCGTTTTAATTAGTTCAATATCATGGATGGAATCCAGTCCAGCAGCTTTGGCCTCCCTCATCAACGTTCGTCTCAGGGTTTCTCTTGGGCGTTTTCGCCTCCTTAATCCCTTTATTTGCCACTTTATTTCCTATTGTAATACCTGTTTGGTGATTCGATGATAGTTGCTTCTCAGGGTGTGTCCAGTAAAGCGCCATCTTGTCTGTCTTATAACTGAAATACTAGTGGCTACCCAGACATTTCTCTTATTTGTTTCATTCCTTTTGAATTCATCCTATTTTATATTACAACAAAAAAATGCCATGCTATAAACGAAATAACATGTTCTTAAACAGGGTGGAATCTGTTTCTTCACCCTCCAGTCCTCTTCCTCCTCCTTTTTCTGATTCTGCTACTTCTGCTTCTATTATTGTTGCTGCCGCACCTATTGCAGCTCTCCTTTAGATCCATTGTAGCACAGATTCAAACTAGCGAGAAAGCATCCTAGACTGTGAGCAGTTGGCTTACTTTTGTCGCTAAATAATTTTATGAGAAGATGTAACCAGCGCCAGGCCTGGGTTGTGGTTTTACATTGAACTGACCGTCCCGTATGAGTCGCGTTAATCACCTGTAAAGCTCGAGAAATACAGTGATTTAGCAGCCGGTCTGAGGAGAAACGAGGCGTACACGGTACGGGTCTTTGCCGTCGAAGTGGGAGCGCGAGGTCTCGTCTCCACTTCATTGTACAATGTGGTTAAAGAACTAGGATTGCGCTTTAATGAACGGAAACGAACACTCAAAAATCTGGGCGAGGTAGCCGAAAGGGCCTCGAGCTGGCTTTGGACGCAACGTAACAACGTAGGGGGTGGGCCTCGGTGAGCTGGTCCGGGTTTCTAGTGGAAAAGGGTTTCTCACCCTTTGAAAGTCCATCGTATCCGAATTGTCTGCCTGTGTTCCTCTGCCACCTGCTAACAAAAGTCCAACATGTGTCCAGTAAACCAAACGTAAGCTTGTCGCTCGGTCGTCCAGGCATGCTGACTGTTCTAATTAGGCTGCCGCTACGATTTCTTATCTCACAGTACCTTCTGCGAAACCACCAAGTCGTCTTGTCCCTATCCGAAAGAAAAACACCATCCGGTAATCTCGTGCAGCAGGGTACCAGCCCTGAGCTTCATGAACTCAGGTTGGCCCACTTCCGAAAGTGTCTAGAAGAATCGTGGGCCGAAACACTTGTCGACGAGGATATCTTTTACTGATGACTGGTAGATCCCTGCTGTACTTGCTCCCTGCGAGTTTATTTCTAATTTACCTTTACAAATCTGCATATGCTTTCCTGAATATCTATATTCTGGAGGAGGAGGAGGTAGATATCAGCAACGTTTGACAAAGTATATTAAGGATATACCTCATTCACATAAAACAAATGACCCTTTCTCTTCACACAGGCTATCCAGTGTTGCGCCTACAAGCTGGGTATTCCCATGGACTTGATTACAGTGAAGCCGACCAGTACGATCGTCAACACCAACTCCAAGTACAGTGCTGGCTCCACCACTACAGGACTCGTCTGTCTGGTAACCCCGCCATTACTGCTTCATTATCTTAGTACTTGTAGCATCTGTTTTCAGTGGCGTACATCGGTGTACCAATCTTGTTTGCAACATCAGTCTAATTACTGTTGCCTGCAGAGGTTTGATTTATCTGTTTTTGAGCTACCCAAACCTGACACTTTTTTGTGCCTTTTTTTTCCGCTGCCCCTTTTACGACTTCTGTCGTTTCCTGTTTGGATCCTGATGCTCCATTCTAGGGTGAAGAAGAATGGACTCCCCACCCTTCAATAGGCATGTCATTTAACAGTAAAAGTAAAGGACCCTTTTCCACGGCCGTCAGGTGTATTGGGTATATAGGGCTGGATCTATATTTTATACACCAAACGGCACTTGGTGGGTGATGTGGTCAGCATCAGGCCGGCCGACTTGAATTCCCAGGACTGTACCTGGTACCCACTCAAGGCTGGGTAAGTATGTCATTTAAGGTGACTAATTAGAAGTTGTTTATTTTGTCAGAGTTGGTCTGCGAGGAGCCAACGGTCTGAATACAACTACGTAGAAGTATACCTTTAAGGCGTATTGGGCATATAGGGCTATACTTATATTTTATAGACCAATCAGCACTCGGTGATTGTTGTAGTCAGCATCATGCCGACCGCCTTTGCTTCCCAGGACGTTATAGCGTACCCACTGGCTGGGTTGAACTGACAGCCAACGCTATTTATGGAAAAAGTCAGGACACTTTCGGATTTGAACCCACGATCTTAGGATCCGCAAGCGAGTGCCAATCCATGAATGTGCCTAAATAAATAATTGTTAAGGGGCGCCCGCCCGGGGTACAATACAAGACGGTACAGGGGTATACACTACAGGCAACAACGGGAAAGAGGGGCCCCGACCACTGACACCAATATTCCGCAGCTTTTATTACTATAAGTTTGAAAAGGTAAACCTCTGAGGGGGAGAACAATATACTCCTAAAAGGTGAGCCCCGGGGTGAACAAGCAGTTTTTGGTTTAACTTTAAAGGGGTCGCCCCTGAATCAACATTTTAAACGATAAAGGCCGCCATTGGGGAAAAATTATCGCCAACAACCGGTCACAGCGTTATCTGACCCTTGACCTAGTTGGATTAGAGGAGAAAGAGGGCTGTATGATCCGAAAATGCCTTCCATAAACAACGCAGTTGACTATTAGTGTGGGGGTATTTCTCAGTAGCGTTCATTGTAAACTCAAATATATCCTACATCATGAGATAGTATCAAAGCAAGAAAAAGTAGAACTAGTCAACCACACACTGTCACAATAACAGCCATGTAAAAGTTGCGGCTATAAAGTATTCATCAGCAGATGACATAAATAGACAGTCTTACAGTTACAAACAAGTAAACTAAAAATAAAAGACCCTTTTCCACACTTCTGAGGTATTGGTCATGTATGGTTACAGCTATATTTTATAGACCAATCAGTACTAAGTGGGTTATTTGGTCAACATTACACTTGCCGCCTTTACTTTCCAGGACTTTACCTGGTACCAGTTTAAAGCTGGGTCGACCTAGGAGCCAAGGTTATTTAAAAAAATTGCGACTGTGAGGTTTGCTCACAAGAAACTTTGCGATCCGCAGGCGAAAGTGTTCAGTTCGTACAGTTGAGACTTCTCTGACAGAAATCCACATATCTGTCTGAGGAGTTGAAGCTCTGACCACATATCACATCATATCACATACTCGAATTCTTTGTTCTCTGTGTCGTTTCACGTTCAGTAGTATCATTAGTTAGTTAGTTAGTTAGTTCGTTAGTTCGTTAGTTCGTTAGTTAGCTAGTTAGTTAGTTCGTTAGTTCGTTAGTTCGTTAGTTCGTTAGTTAGTTAGTTAGTTAGTTAGTTAGTTAGTTAGTTAGTTAGTTTTAGTTAGTTAGTTAGTTAGTTAGTTATTAGTTAGTTAGTTAGTTAGTTAGTTAGTTAGTTAGTTAGTTAGTTAGTTATTAGTTAGTTAGTTAGTTAGTTAGTTAGTTAGTTAGTTAGTTAGTTAGTTAGTTAGTTAGTTAGTTAGTTAGTTAGTTAGTTAGTTAGTTAGTTAGTTAGTTAGTTAGTTAGTTAGTTAGTTAGTTAGTTAGTAGTTAGTTAGTTAGTTAGTTAGTTAGTTAGTTAGTTAGTTAGTTAGTTAGTTAGTTAGTTAGTTAGTTAGTTAGTTAGTTAGTTAGTTAGTTAGTTAGTTAGTTAGTTAGTTAGTTAGTTAGTTAGTTAGTTAGTTAGTTAGTTCGTTAGTTAGTTAGTTAGTTAGTTAGTTAGTTAGTTAGTTAGTTAGTTAGTTAGTTAGTTAGTTAGTTAGTTAGTTAGTTAGTTATTTGTTAGTTATTTGTTAGTTAGTTAACTAGTTAGTTAACCAGTTAGTTAGTTAGTTAGTTAGTTAGTTAGTTAGTTAGTTAGTTAGTTAGTTAGTTAGTTAGTTAGTTAGTTAGTTAGTTAGTTAGTTAGTTAGTTAGTTAGTTAGTTAGTTAGTTAGTTAGTTAGTTAGTTAGTTAGTTAGTTAGTTAGTTAGTTAGTTAGTTAGTTAGTTAGTTAGTTAGTTAGTTAGTTAGTTAGTTAGTTAGTTAGTTAGTTAGTTAGTTAGTTAGTTACTTAGTTAGTTAGTTAGTTACTTAGTTAGTTAGTTAGTTAGTTACTTAGTTAGTTAGTTACTTAGTTAGTTAGTTAGTTAGTTAGTTAGTTAGTTAGTTAGTTAGTTAGTTAGTTAGTTAGTTAGTTAGTTAGTTAGTTAGTTAGTTAGTTAGTTAGTTAGTTAGTTAGTTAGTTAGTTAGTTAGTTAGTTAGTTAGTTAGTTAGTTAGTTAGTTAGTTAGTTAGTTAGTTAGTTAGTTAGTTAGTTAGTTAGTTAGTTAGTTAGTTAGTGGACAGAGTATCCTCAGTGCACATTAGATAAGTCCATAAGCTGTCAGATCCAATCTTCAGTAAATCCCTCAGCATATGGCGATTGATAACGCCAGTGGTATTGTTTTTCCAAATCATATGCTGGGCTATCTCAGTAAACAATGACTACCGCTCTATTCCTGCAGTGAAACCTATTTTAGACTATCTCTTTTTGTCACATTAAGTATTTGATATGTGTCTATTCTATGACCAAGAGCGATTTTTTTTCTCTCAAAAATGACCGACTCCCAGGTCAACCCAGCCTTAAATTGGTACTATGTCCATTCCTGGAAGGTAAAGGCGGTCGGCGTGCTGCAGACCACATCACCTACCTAGTGCCGACCGGCCTATAAAATATAAGTCTACCCCTATAAGCCCAACATGCTTGTATGAATGAAAAAAAAAATTTCGGTTATTGTATTTGACTTCTACTGTTCTGTGACAAGACTTCATTGCTTCACAATTTGCCGAGTAGGGTGCACGAATAAACCCACTACAACCCCAACGGGTCTTTTGTAAGAGTCGACTAGCTGGTGGCTTCCTTCGAAGTCAGAGTGCATTTGCCTTAGAGGCAAGGAACTAACAGACTGCATACAAATAAGCTATATCTGTAAAACAAACTTGCGCGCAACACTCAGTTTTTGGAACAAAACTGAAGTCCCGAGGAGGAAAGAAACAAAAACTTTCTGAGTAGTTTAAAGCCGTTGATCGCAAAGAAGAGGAAGGGGTTGGGGTGAGAGGGGTGGGGAGGGGGAGGGGACATATATGTACTGTCCAGGTGTCTATCTCATTGAAAGACTGCTCTGTCGGAAGGACGCATACACTTTTCTTTTCTGATTGTTAAGTCCCCCGTGTCTGAATCTGCAGCTCCTAGTCTGCCAGTTGCTGTCTAGTTCATTGATGTGGCTAATGTATGTGTTTGCCAGCTTTGCATGGTCAACATTATCTGACCATCTGTCCCAGAAGGTTTCCATGTAGATGTCCAAGCAGAGAAGCACGCTTTAGGAAACACGATTCAGGTAGTGGCCGGACGTGATCAAATCACAAGTGTAAGCGTTAGCAGGTATCGGTTATACTGGAGCGGGTATCATGTGATGTTTTCCTACTCGTCGATTGACTGTTTAGAATATGAAAGCGCCGCTAGCATTGTAAGCATTAGCAGCTTAAGGCTTCCTCACGATACCGACAGTTTCTGCATGAGTTGTGTAAGCATTCATCGAGCGTTTTTTTTTAAAATAAATAAACAGTAATAATAAATATAACATAGTATTTTCCGTGGTAATGAAAAGTGTAAGCGACAAAAACAGCCGTTACATTCACGGCTCGGCACTGGATTGAAGCAAATTATTATTTTAATTTATTTATGTAATTATTTTTTTATTTTAAATACATTGTGATTTTTTCAATATTTGCTGACTAAATTGAAGATATATGAGAACACATTGCTCGCTATGATTGATTTGGTTTGATTTGATTCAAGAACCGACATCACAGCACTCGGGGCATTCCCATAAGTGCTCCGTCCCCATCTTCAGCAGCCAGCGAAGAGTTCCGACTTTGCGCGCTAGTTAAGATTCAAAGAAAAACTTAAACAATACACCAAACGTTGTTGGGGACCAACATAGTTAATTTATCTTACTACAGTCACACTGGTGAACGAACAGATAATCGAGTCGTTTTTTTTTTAAATTTTTTAGGCCATCTTGAAATGTTGTGAAGACCTTCTGGAGCGCTTGGCTCCATCGAAAGCCAAACTGGTCAATCCGTCATGGAGGGAGATCATCAAGCAAGCGTACCTGGATGTGGTGGACCTGAGAGCACACTACATGTAAGCTTCATGGCTGGGCTAGCTCTGCTGTAATGGTTGCGCTGACAATACTGTCATGGTTATGCTAACATTACTGTAATGGTTGTGCTGATAATACTGTCATGGTTATGCTAACATTACAGTATGGTTGCGCTGATAATACTGTCATGGTTATGCTAACATTACAGTATGGTTGCGCTGATAATACTGTCATGGTTATGCTAACATTACAGTATGGTTGCGCTGATAATACTGTCATGGTTATGCTAACATTACAGTATGGTTGCAATGATAATACTGTCATGGTTATGCTAACATTACAGTATGGTTGCGCTGATAATACTGTCATGGTTATGCTAACATTACTGTATGGTTGCGCTGATAATACTGTCATGGTTATGCTAACATTACAGTATGGTTGCAATGATAATACTGTCATGGTTATGCTAACATTACAGTATGGTTGCGCTGATAATACTGTCATGGTTATGCTAACATTACTGTAATGGTTGCGCTGATAATACTGTCATGGTTATGCTAACATTACTGTAATGGTTGCGCTGATAATACTGTCATGGTTATGCTAACATTACAGTATATTTGCGCTGATAATATCTTAGCCATAATAAACGTCACATCGGATTGGAAAACATAATAGCAGAAGGCATGGTACAAGGAAGAAGGGGCAGGGGCCGACTAACAAGAAGATGGGCACGTGATCTATGGAAGGTCACGAGACAAGGCGGGAGAGCTGGCGAGAAACCGAGTTTGATTATTATGAGGACTGACGGTCTGCTCCTCCATTCTATTGTATCCTATGTAATCAGTTTAATTCATGTATGGAATCTGGTCCAACAGCTTTGGCTTCTCTCACCAACGTTAGTTTTTAGATTTCTGTTGGACGTCATTGTTTCCTTAATCCACATGTTTCCTATTTCAGTGCTTTTTTCACGAGTTTCTGCTTGTTTCTTCCCAGGATGTAGCCGGTATATCACAATCTATTTTGTCTTTAACAATAAAGTGGAAGTTGAATACGAGCGGATCGACTTCAGTGCCCTAGCTTATTTTATAAGTCTCGGTAACTATCTCCATGAATCTTTGTGAAAATATGTCTGTGAACATTATAATAGTACAGTAAACGTATCTTTTCCACGCTTTCAGGCGTATTGGGCATGTAGGGCAAGACATATATTTTATGGACCAATAGGCGCTCATTGGGGGCAGATGTACTCCAGCTTCTAAAAGTAATTTATGTTTTTTTTTTTTTTTTTTCAGGCCTCAGATCAAAGACAAATACCCATCCGAACATTACAGCTCCTGGGGCGCCTGTACGGCCGAGGTGGAGCTGGACGTCCTCACGGGTCAGTACCAGATCACGCAGGTGGACTACCTGAATGACACCGGCACCAGGTCAGTCTGTCATTTATCCAGTGTCTGTTATTGTTTGTTGTATTTCTTCTTCCTTTCATTTGTTATATTTCTTCTTCTTTTCGATCGTCCAAAAATATAACTGCATTGTGTCTTTTTACATCAGAGTTGCGATATCTGCGGCTTTCAGCCAACACATCCGACTTTATGGAGTATTCGTTGACCAAGTAACTTCCCTGTTACATTTGTGTATAATCTTATAGTCGTGGGTTCAAATCCGAACGAAAACAGTTTTGACTTTGGCTTCCAGGTCGATGCAGCCTTAAATAAGTATCAGGTACAGTGCTGGGAAGTAAAGGCGACCGGTGTGATGTTGACTGCATCACCCACCCAGTGCCGAGTAGTCTATAAAATATAAGTCTAGCACTATACGTCCAATGCGCATTAGGGTCTAGAAAAGGGTCTATTACTTCTTCTTCCTCAGCATTGCGAGCCCTTGATGTTCATTGCTGAAGATATCACCCGCCTCCACTCATTTCCCTGGTAGGTTTTCTCTTTCCAGTTGGTGACACCAAGTGTTTGCAGGTCTGTCTGGACATTATCTCTCCATCGTCTGCTTTGTCTATCTCGTGTCTTCGACCATTCAGCTCCCTTGTGTATACAGTTTTACCTCTCTGTCACCTAAAATTCTCTCAATATTCACCAGCTATTTGAGTAAATTAGCTCTCGTGATAGCAGTGATCAGTGGTGATTTTAACAGATAATAAATTTCGTTGTTGCTTCTCAATCTCCATTCCCAGCTGTGTGCATCTTTGATGGGTCCAAAGATTCGTCGTAAGACTGTTTTCACAAATTTTGTAATAAGGCTTCATCTCTTTTAGTTATGCTTCAAGTTTCAGAGTCATATAAAACAACTGGTCTTATCAACGTTTTAAATATTTTGATCTTGGTGTTGTGAGATGTTGAAGGGCATCGTATACTTTGTTTCCAGATTTCATTCCATTCTCTCATCATGTTGGAGCAGTTGAAGTAGGAATCCACGTATTTATATGTTTCCGTTTATTTGATTTTCATATTGTTGACTTGTATGTCGTATTATCATATATTCTGTATTATCTTGATTGATAACTAGTCCAATTTTTTTAGTTGCTTCTTTTGATTAAAAAAGTCAGTTTTTAAAAAGAAAGTGTTTAGTTCTTTTTCTCCAACGACAACAATGTAATCTTCATAACTAAGTAGTCTTGTACTTAATCCAACAGTACACTGTTCTTTCGATTTCCTTATTATTTTCTCCATTACTTTACTTTACTTAATTAACACTCTGTTACTGTGGAACCTTCTCATACACCTCAAACATCTGGGCTTTTCAGATGATATCTGTGTCACCAGCCAAAGTAAAGAACATCTGCGACAAACGACAGATAGGATAACAGAAATAGCAAAACAGACAGGGTTAGGAATCAATGTCAGTAAAACAAAACTCCTGGAGATAAATCACAAAAAGTGAAAGACCTATAGTAATAGATAATGTTGGTTTGGAACAGTAACTGACTTCACTTACCTGGGAAGCAATATCTCCTCGGATAGAAATGTAGTGGTTGAAATCAAGCAGAGAATTGCAAAGGCAAATGCTGCTTACAACAGACTAAAACTAAACACATGATATACAAAACATGCGTTAGTACAATTCTCTTCTATGGAGCAGAAACTTGGAAAACAGACAGAAAGATAGATAGCATGCTCAGAGATTTTGAGGAAAGACTTCTCAGAAAATGTTGGGGGTTCACATGGGAAGATAAAATCAGCAATTCTAGATTACAAAAAATGACTGACTTAGAAAATGTAAATTCATATTTAAAAAAAAAAAAAAAAATTAGATGGAGGTGGATTAGACACGTGCTCAGAATAAAGAAAGAGAGGCGGCTGAGTCAGGCCATGGAATGGACACCACAAGAACAGCGAGGAAGAGGCTGGCCCAGAGGCACTTGGTGACGAACCTTTGAGGCTGAACTCAAGGCTACGCCTCGGACAAATCTGGAGATGGAGAAGATGGCTCAGGATCGAACTGAGGGGTGACAGTCTGTCTCTGCCTTATGTGTCTCTGTGTGCAATGAGGATTGATTGACTTTGATTTAATAATATGTGATAAAATGACATTGAAGCAGGAAAAAAAAAGGGGGACGAATAACAAATGATCTAAGTCGTGACCATGAAGATTTTCAACAGAAATAAGACTAAATAGGAAATGGAAAGACAGCCAGAAGAACAGAAATACAAACATCTGACTAATATTGTTAAATAATTATCAAAACATGTATATGGGGTGGAGGAAGCCAGGTTAGCGCATTGGCAGTGGGTCTATTCTTGTTTTCCCCACCATGGGGTCCCGGAAACCACACGGGAATTCTTAATCTAATAAGCACATTTTGTCTTTGAACAGCTTAAACCCACAGCTGGACATTGGTCAGTTGGAAGGTGGTTTTATCATGGGCTTGGGATTGTTTCTGACCGAGGGTTTCAAGTTTGACCCAATGACAGGTCAGCTGCTCACCGATGGAACATGGGTAAGATCTGATTACGTTTTCGTTGGTTCCTTCAGTCCATCCGTGGTTCAGTGTAGATTTATCAGATGGCTTTCAGTCAACCAGAAGCCCTAATGAAGGTTGACTGAAGTGGATTTCAAACACTCAATTCTCTCTCTCCCCCTCTCTCTCTCTTTCTTTCTCTCTCTCTCTCTCTCTCTCTCTCTCTCTCTCTCTCTCTCTCTCTCTCTCTCTCTCTCTCTCTCTCTCTCTCTCTCTCGATTTGAAATATGAGTATAGTACAATTCAAACATATCAAACAAGTTCAATAGCTATCCTAAACGCTGACATGTAACGAAGATTTGATACAGAAATAAAGAACAGGCTTGGCATGTCCAATTTTTTTTTACAAGAACCAATAATATCAAGAAGAATATAGATCTAGACTTACCAAATTACGCTTCCTGACAAGGTCAATGTTATCTGTTCTACGTGAGCAGCAAATGGTGAAGCGGAAATGTGGTTTGAAGAAAAAAAAAGAACAAAATAAAATAGCAAGAGAAATTATCCCAGTATAGCGAAATACTTGTTTATTGATTAAAGCAAGGCATTTGATTGTGTCCAGCACCACAATCTGTGGACTATTATGAAAAGTATGGGGTTTCCAGCGCATTTAGTGCATTTAATTGAAAATCTTTATCATGAACAACAAGCAGCCGTCAGAGCAGCTGGTGAAACATCTGATTGGTTCGAGGTGCAAAAGGGGATGAGGCAAGGGTGCATTCTCTCACCATACCTATTCAATATATACACAGAAAATATAATGAGAAATGTCAAAAATGACCAGACCTGTGACAGTTATGATCCGCTCAAAATTGGTGGCAACCCTATTCCGGAACTCCGCTACGCAGATGACACAGTCCTCCTTTCTAACAGCGTAAAGGGAATAGAAAATTTAATATTGTCTGTCCTAAAGCTCAGTGAAGATAAAAATCTGTTCTTGAATTTAAAGAAAACAAAAATAATGTCCACAGATAAAACTGGCAGTCACCCAAAAATAACAATAAATGATGAAGAAATTGAAAATGTCACAAACTTTGAATATCTAGGCTCTGTAATAAACAACAATGGAGACTGTTCGACAGAAATTGAAAGGAGGATGGCCATAGCAATGCAAAGATTGAACAGCCTTAAAAGTTTTTGGTTAAGCATCAGCAAGGAGATACAAATTTGAATTTTTGAGAGCATGCATCTTCCCTGTGGCTACATACGGATGTGAGTCGTGGACTATCTCAGTCTTTAAGAAAGAGAATAGGGGCTTTTGAGCTGAAATGCTATAGAAAGATTCTCAGAATATCTTGGACAAAGAAGATGAGAAATATTGACGTCTTGAAAGATCTGAACATCAAGGAAGATTGGCTAATAAACAGCATCCTTTCTCGAAAGCTGAAATATTTTGGTCACATTAAGCGCCACGACGGATTGGAAAAAAATATAGCAGAAGGCATGGTATCAGGAAGGAGGGGCAGGGGCCGACCGACACGAAGATGGGCACAGGATATAAGTGAATCCTTGAGTGTGAAAGTTCATGAGGCGGGAGAACTGGCGAGAAACCGAGTTTCTTTCAGGCAGACAGTGATAAGAGGCGACTTTCTGCAAAGGACCTGCTACATGATGATAGGGAAATACTAAGCAAGAAAGGTAGAAAAAGGTAGAGAAAGACATATGAGGATCGCTTAAAGTAAATTAGAGTATTTTATTTTAAATTCACACTAAACAAAGGAAATTCCGGCGTTCCCAGAAAAGCCCAATATTCTAGGGGTGTTATGGTTAGGATCTGTGTCAGCCCCGACCGCCTCAGAAACAACGATTAACCCTAACCCAGAAGGTAACTGTAACAATAATTCCTTGCCCTAACCCTAACCCAGATGGTAACTGTAACATTAATTCCTTGCCCTAACCCTAACCCCAACCCATAACATTCCTAGAATATTGAATATTGGACTTACCCGGAAACTCCTAAATTTTCTTTGTTTCGGGTGAGTTTAAAAAAATTACCCAAATTAGCCACAAATAATAGTATCAGGTTAAGGTTAGTTGCGTATCCTTTACAGGACGTTGCAGAACCAACCCCAACAGCCCCTGGCTGCTGTGTGGTTTTTCTAGGCAAATTTACGTCCAGTAGTTTGCCATTGCTTTCTGGAATCAGGTATAACAGATTAATTCAAAAATGTGTTTAGGGGATCTCATAACCAGAAAAAGACAGAAAATCACCAGGCAGCACTGCAAAGTTACACGAATATATTGAGGAATCCAGGACGCCCAATAGAAACCCAAGGGTACTGGGGTAGATTCAATCCGGGATATCAAAGGGATAGCACTGGGTATAACGGCAGTGAAGGGTTAGACTGCAGGTACGAATTGCTGCAAAACAGGAAATGATGATGATGATGTTGACTGCAGATCCAAGATCGCTGATGTTTATACCGGACAAGACACATATGGAGAAAGTGGCTATTTGTATTTCACTTCAGCGTTTGCTTCCACTTGATATACGTTTCTGGAAAACTATTTTACTGTTTCTACATTCATAACTCATGATCCACAACTGTTACAATCATGGCTTTTTTCTGACAGTACGCAGTACCGAAGTCGATGCGAACGCTTCGTAATGCCGGGATCCCGGGTTCGATCACAGCTGCGGGCCATGCGCTTTGCGTTGTTTCCGACAGTGGTATCAAGAAAGCCGACCGCCCAGAAAGCAATGGCAAACTACTAGACGTAAATTTGCCTAGAAAACCACACAACAGCCAGGTGCTGGTGGGGTTGATCCTGCAACTTTCTGTAAAGGATACGCAACTAACGCAGTACGGGGTTCTTTTATAAGGCATAGTTTTTCAGCCTTCCTGTATTATATACTTTGTGGCCTATCAATCGATCGGTTCGTCCCCTTAGAGCTTCTTCCTAAAGGTTTAAAATACCAATCTGAGATTTTAAAAAATCTCGTTCTGACGTGCAGACCTACCAGACAGTTCCCAGATACCCCGTTAAACCTGCAAGAAGATATATTCAGGCAGCAGTGATAGCTACACAAACCAGTCTGCAGTCTTGTGTAGGTAAGGACGTGCTACTATACCTTATGTTTCGTACTGGCACCTTTTATTAGACACATTATGCTAGGTACTGACACTTTGTTTCCTCCACAAAACAACCCTGCTTACAATTTACCTCATTGCACTGAGATTATCGGTTATAGTCCACTCCAAAAGTCCTGCCGAACTTTACAAATCTGTAACTCAGAAGCGTTGTTGAAATTTGGCATGCAGCCTATTGATAATCTTATTTTTTACGTCCTCTTTTACTGCTTCGGGTGTCTAGCGAGATAAAAGGTCCTGCTTCGTGATTTTCTGGCTGCTTCGACCACAGACACACCGTGGTATTATAGAGTTTCTCTGATGTTGTCATTCAATCTTGTTCTTGGTCTTATTAAAAATCAATATAAACAAGCGTCTACTTTTCATTTTGCCTCATTTCCCGTAAATAAAAAAAAATTAAAAAAAAAAAACCAGACACCGATTCCTAGCAACGAATCAGCATGTTTACAGTATCTTGAGTAAATTGAACAAGAGGAACTTTACATTATATTGCATGCGTTTCATGGGCGTTTAGCTCTCAGGTGGTCATTTCAAGCTTCAGTCTCCAGTGAGTTGGTGAGTTTTGATTGAGTGAGGGTTATGCTAACTAAATAATCATCACCCATCGCTGCACGTGTTAGCTCATTTCGAAATTATCTTCTTAGCTGTTTCAGTTACTTAATATTTTTTTTGTCTTAGGGGTGCAGAAATTATTAGTCAAACAAAGATCAAAGAAACTGGCCGCGTTAAGGAAACAAGCAGCATCTATGCAACTGTAAACTATAGAATCATAATCACATGGAAAATCTCAGGTCATATGAATAAATTCATGTTGATGTATAAGGAGTTTTCGAGATGGACGGCATAAGTTTTGAAACTCACTGTAGTAGATCATATTATTACACTCATTCTAGTACATCATATTATTATTCTTTACTATGCTAGGAATACAAACCTCCGCTGGGGAAAGATTTACCAATCAACTTCAATGTGAAGTTCATGAGAAATGTGCCCAATCCCACCGGAGTACTTGGCTCTAAAAGTAGGTATTTTTAGTTATGGTTTATCCGTTTTTATTCTCTTGCCAAATGTGAGGAAAATGCGCGCGCGCGAACATACACATACATGCCCACAAGCGCACCTAGGCACGCACAGACACACACATACGCGAGTGAGCGTCTGCCTCTTTCTGATGTTTCTGTTCAGGTGTTTATCTTTCCTCTAGTAAGATATTTACCACGCTCAAGCCACACAATTGTTAATGATCTTCTGCAAAGCCACATTTATGAGGTGTCCAGATTTCGTTTAGATTCACTAATAGAATAATTACTAAAACAGCGGTAGTCTTTTTCTTCTTGGTCTTCAACGGTTGAAAGCTCCGGTGGAGAGTTCTGGTTGTTTGTCAACTGCTAGGCGTTAGTCCTGTTCCAGAACGTGTTTGTATGTGTACATCTACTTCACAGATCTGGCTTTTTTGCATGTAGACTGCTGGTCTCTAACCTTTCAGGCAGAGGTACTTGACTTCAAAAGAAACACCCATAATTAGTTGACTTTCACAACATGCTTTTGGTGAAGGGGGGTGGGGTGGGGGGGGGGGGGGGGACTGGGTCTATTTTTTTTTCACGTAGACTTGTACTTCTAAAAATTCCCCTTGGTTTCTGAGTAGTGAGATCGGATGCCCATGTGCATTGTTGCGCACGTAGTTGGAACTCGAACAGAGTAGTCTAAGGGCGCTGTCCGGGCAAAATTTTGATTTAAAAATCTACCCAAAGTATTTTAAGATCCTCGCCGGTGCTACAGAGCCTGTGCCACTTTGGTTAGAAGAAGAACGGAGCACTTATGGGTTACTACCCGTGTGCCATGTTGTTGGTCCGTAGTTCAAACCTCACACTTTGCAACAGGTACTGAGGTTTGGGGATATATATATATATATATATATATATATATATATATATATATATATATATATATATATATATATATATATATATATATAAGCGCCTGCCTGCTGGAGAAGAGAACTTGTTTAAATTTACGCCTGCAGGGGATTGTAACACGGGATCATCAGACAGACAGACATATAATATACTAGTTACTACTACTACTCCCCGTGTGTGTTCCAGGGCACCTTTTTGGGGGTCGGTAGAGTGCTGGAAAGTGGGGGGGGGGGGTTAATAGTCCCACATACGGGTAGTATCATTAGTAACTAGCATGGCACATGTTATAACCTAAAGCTCACCATTCACGGATGCTGGTTAACGGTGACAATATGTTTTCCAGCTAAGCACCTAGCTACCTAACAGGCAACTTGGTACCAGAAAATGTTCAGCATGTACTAGAATACCGTCAATTGTGTTGCTGCTAACAGAACTAAAAGAGAAGCAATCTGGCCTGTTGCGACTTCAGAGAAGACAACGATGTATAGTACATGGTGAGGTATTACTGCGGGAAAGCTTTCCATCAAGACTACTGAGCTCCTTTCATTCATTTTGCAGCAGAAGGATCGAAGAGGAACAAGGCCAGGGACTGATGCTCATGATGATAAAACGACTGTACCAAGTACTGTAGACCTGTGTGTGTACCGAGAGGCTCGTATAATGTTACAGATATTGTTGTTTCCCAAATGGATTCAGTCCAAACTGTATCGTAACTGTTGGTTAAAGTGGTAATACACCCTGTTTTGTTTCTCTCAGTTGTGGGCGAGGCTCCAGTCAGCACCGGAGCCTGTGTCCTGTTTGCTCTCAAACGTGCCGTGGAGGCCGCCCGAGCCGAGCAGAATAACACCGACTGGTTTCCGTTCCGTAAGTTTATTTTATTGTTCATAAAGCAATTACAGATGTAATGTCGTTACACCTCTTTGCCCACTTTAGAAGGAGACAATCTATCATCTTTGGTCAGGTCATGAGAAGGAGACAACGTGTACCTCAAGTCAATGGAAAAGTGAAAGGGGAAAACGTGTACCTAAGGGCGATGGAAAAGTGAAAGGAGAAAACGTGTACCTAAGGGCGATGGGAAAGTTGAAAGGGGAAAAGAGGCAGAGAAAGACCGAGAGAGACGATCATGGAAAGTTTGTCATTAAGATATGAACGATCATCTGTGCCAATACTGATTAAAAGTAAATGAGACAGAAGGTTGTGCATAGACACTGAAACAGTTTTTCATGGTCAACCCATCCATCCAAAAATGGGTACTCAGGTGACTAGTGTGATATTCACAACACAGTACACCCAGTGCTGACACTTGAATAATTGACTAGCACTATATACCCCATGTCTCTCAAAATGATGTCTCTGTCTAAACTTGCAATGATGTCTTTGTTTAGACTTGCAAGGATGTCTCTGTCTGAACCCTGCAATGATGTCTTTGTTTAGACTTCAATGATGTCTATGTCTAAACTTGCAATGATGTCTTTGTTTAGACTTGCAGTGATGTCTCTGTCTAAACCCTGCAATGATGTATTTGTTTAGACTTGCAGTGATGTCTATGTCTAAACTTGCAATGATGTCTTTGTTTAGACTTGCAGTGATGTCTATGTCTAAACTTGCAATGATGTCTATGTCTAAACTAGCAATGATGTCTCTGTCTAAACTAGCAATGATGTCTTTGTTTAGACTTGCAATGATGTCTATGTCTAAACTTGCAATGATGTCTTTGTTTAGACTTGCAGTGATGTCTCTGTCTAAACCCTGCAATGATGTCTTTGTTTAGACTTGCAGTGATGTCTAAACTTGCAATGATGTCTGTTTAGACTTGCAGTGATGTCTCTGTCTAAACCCTGCAATGATGTCTTTGTTTAGACTTGCAGTGATCTGGTAATCTGGTAATCTGATAATCCTAGTTTCAGCTTCATAGCAAACGGGTCACCCCACACATGCTCCGCTCCTGTGCCAACGAAAAACAAACGCAGCTCACAGTGTCACGCCATGCACTCAACTCAGAAGCTGGGCGACGAAACTACATCCTTCCAGTCTACAAATGGAGCAAAAATGCAACGGCCACCGTCTGGAAAAATATTTGCCACGGCTTTTAAAAAAAAAAAAAGTGGCCGTACCTAGCGTCCATTTTGACCGGAAGAATTATATGAGGGTTAATAAACGGTCACCCCAGCAGTACCCTCATTATTAGCTGGGGAAGGGACTTAGGACATTACATCCACCAGCAGGCGTCGCCCCTAAAACGACCTGCCTGCCCTCGTTAACGACTGTTCACCCAACAGCCATGCAGTTCTTTGGCACGAAGGAGACACCTTGAACTTGGGTTTCGTACTGCCGACTCCCTACTAAGATGTTATTTTATGTTGTTATCACAAATAATGTCACTGCACATTGGGCATACCCATGCGTGCTCAGTTCTCCGAAGCAGCAGCCACTCTAAAGTACTTCTACTAATTGTCCCCATGAGAAGCTGGTTATATTGTCTCCTTTCTCGGCCTCGAAGACGGCAAAGACGTGCATCCCCATGCTTAACTCCCATGTCACGCAATCGTGTTAGTGTCAGGGATTCCTCATTCTCCACTAGCCCGGTTCGTACAGCGTTGACTATGTCTGCTCTGTCCATACTTTTTCCTGCAATCATTAGTGCAGTGCTTGCCAGTTGGTCTGCTCGCTCATTTCCCTTCACGCCCGCATGACCCGGTGTGTAGATCCAGGTTACGGAGGTTAAGTGCGATTTCCTGATGCTTTCTATCCATTCAGAGAGCATACTGCCTGTTGCTATCTTCTGAAGCATATTCATTGAGTCTGAGACAATTACTACCTGTGTAGCGGTTTGCTCGGATACCCATGCTAAAGCTCTAGAAGCAGCGGCTATTTCCATTGTCATGCTTGACGTGGTTGTCTGGTAAGCGCCGCTGCCCTCATGTATTGTTTTCCCCTTTCTTTGCGCTGTGTATGCCCATGCTGACCTTGATCCGCGCTTCACAGATCCATCTGTGTAGATGATGGTATCTTCTGGGTCTGAATGCTGATCTATCAGTTCCCTTACTTCTGTGTCTACCGCCGCAGGAATTTGATCCCTGCAGTACCTTCCGAGTGTGATGACAACCTTAGAGATGCCATGCATGTCTACTGGTGTATTCGTCCATTCTTTTCCGTGGCTGATCACGTCTAGGTCACATACCTGCTGGATTAAGTCCTCAGCCTTTGCCATCCAAGAGCGGCCCCTTTTGAGACGCGTTCCTTTTGTGTCGTGAATAGCTTTGTGTAATGGGTGGTTAACATCTGCCGATACCCTCATGTAAGCCTTGACCTGTGCCACTTTGTATCTGCTTGTCATAGTCGGCAGACCCAGGATATAACGCATGGCGTTGCAGGAGGTGTCTTTTGTGCAGCCGAGTATGAGTCTCATGGCCTCATTCTGTACTCGGTCCAGTCTTTCTAGCTGGGTTTTGCTGACAGTGAGGAGGCCGAGACCATAGTCAATGACGCTAAGCACAAGCCCTTGATAGTGATGTCTATGTCTAAACTTGCAATGATGTCTCTGTCTAAAGTTGCAATGTTGTCTCTGTCTAAACAGATGCCCCTGCCACAGTGGAGAGCATACAGACAGCTTGTCTGAACGACCTTGCCCAGTACACCTTTGGTAATTAAAAGGACAACATCACAGATAGATGTCAGATAACAGAGCGACAAAAACTGTGTACACTTCAGAGTTCAATATATTTATACTGAAGCATTAATCATATCTTTCCATAGGCATTTTATATATTAATTGTTAATATATTAATTGTTAATAGGACTTTTGTTTCCACCCCCCCCCCCTTTTTTTCCCCCAAGTGGTGGTACTCACAAGAAAGCATCTATTACATATAAATGACACATTAAAAAAGTGCCGGTAGCGTGTACTGTTGCCTACCACTAGAAAAGAAAAGCCCTGACTGTTTTGTTAATTTGCCAAAAATATTCACCTAACTCTAGTTTTAGTGGGTTATATTTGTGGCAGCCAGCTGTCACCAAACTCTAGTTTTAGTGGGTTATATTTGTGGCAGCCAGCTGTCACCAAACTCTAGTTTTAGTGGGTTATATTTGTGGCAGCCAGCTGTCACCAAACTCTAGTTTTAGTGGGTTATATTTGTGGCAGCCAGCTGTCACCAAACTCTAGTTTTAGTGGGTTATATTTGTGGCAGCCAGCTGTCACCAAACTCTAGTTTTAGTGGGTTATATTTGTGGCAGCCAGCTGTCACCAAACTCTAGTTTTAGTGGGTTATATTTGTGGCAGCCAGCTGTCACTAAACTCTAGTTTTAGTGGGTTATATTTGTGGCAGCCAGCTAGAAGTATAGTCAGCGGTGTAGTTATTCTTGAGAGTGCTGTTACCTTTGTTTACAACTGGGGGGTCAAGGACTGTATTTGATACCCAACATATAAGTTTACCTTTTGTTTTGAGAAGATTTGTTTAGGGTTTGAAACTTCACTTAAATGCTTTCATTTATGGTATGTGCAAAATGATACCTGTCATAATGTACTTGTTGTGTGTGCTAACTGCATACATATTATATTAACTTTTTTTTTCTGTTCGATTTTATTCCTACTTTTTACAAGTTCTAATACTGTGTAACTTCGTGATGATTGTGCGATAAACAACTGTTATACACATATTCCCATGTCATTTACAAATGAGAGCCACAAGGAAGATAGCAGATAATAATAGATGGGAATACTAAAGAAAAGATTATGCAAGTTTACCAAGTACAACTTTAGAGATACGAAGACCAACTTATACCATCATCACCAAGTGCCTTGCCGACTGGCGTAAGCAATCATGCCTCTGCACAATCTGCGATCTGCAACTGCATTATCAGTTTGTGTGTTGACACTCCTCTATGCCATGACAAAGGCTATCAAGAATCTTCTGTCGCTGTCTTCCTCTATCTCTCTTTTCTGGTATTTGTGATAAGCTGTCTTCGAGCACTTGCCTCTTTTTAAAAAAAATCTGGGTTGATCGTCTTAGCTGTCCATGAAACTCTAAGCATTCTTCTATAAAACCACATCAGAAGGAACACACAGAAGATCCTTACATCTTCCAAGTCAACATCGGCAGGGTAACTAAAAGTAGATAAGAATAGGAACAAACATTCATAGACAAATTTGTGTAACAAACACAGGAGACATCTAGCATGAGAATGGAGGTGGAGGTGGCAACTGCTGCTCTCCGGTGGCTAGAGAACAAGATGCATACACATGTGGTAATTGTAACAGACTCTGAAAGCATGCTGAGAAAAGTGAAGACAAGGATGCTTCGAACAGAGAGGCAAGCTTCCCTGGGGATCTTTTCTCCAGGCCTTGCCGGCGTAGTGGGTACTGAACAGGCAGACAGATTAGCTGGATCTGCACCACTGGGTTGTGAACTGATCCATGACAAGGCAGATGTGGTCAAGACCCTTTGGGAACAAGCAACCAAATCAGTAGAGAAACAAGATTATTATGGCCTGGATAAAATGAGGCACCTTGGTGTGACCAGAGAGTCTGACCGGCTGACTACACTCAGAGGAAAGGCACGATGGACATACAACCAGATTGTGACTGGTACCAACAGTATTGGAACTCTGCACTGGTTGCTGAAGAGGAGGATGGAGCATGCACTGGAATGCTCCAAGTGCTGTGATGTCAATTCAACAAAGAGACATTAAAATGGAGGTCATAGTAAGACCAGGTAAGAAGAAGTTGATGCTCTATTCCCAAGACTTTTTCATACACCACTATTCACAAGACTTTTTCATCCACTATTCATAAGCCTTTTTCTTTTTCATACACCACTATTCACAAGACTTTTTCATCCACTATTCACAAGACTTTTTTTTTTCATACAGCACTATTCACATGTTAATAAAAATTTAATATTGTTTTTAATGTTTTGTGTGCATAATACTCCTTTTCTTTTATTTTAAAATGTGTTATCAATCTGTATTGCTCTTTGCTCTTATCGATGTTGTCAGTTGTCAGGCTTCCAAGTTTCCTTCACCCAAATACTTTGGTTTCCCACATCCCATTTCTTTAATCAGTTTAAAGTTCCTATCTGCATTTTTAAAATCGTAGCAAAAACAATTGATCAAAGTCTGCATCACTCATGAAGAAACAAACAAAACAAGAATATCTAGCTGAAAAGTAAAATAATTAAAACACGGCCAGTCATTGCACCAGCACAGTCAATATTGTAAATGAAAAGATAAATTGACAAGTGGCAGGAAACAAAACTAGCAACAACTGCATTTACGTATAGTTTGTGTAAGATGAACATTTTTTTAAAATTATGTCGTTAGAGTATAGTTTGAAAAATTATCAGACACTGTCACAATGCTTGTATTTTATTTACTGACAAGAGCAGCCATCGTCTGCCTAGAAGTAAGGATGCTAGAATCACATATTCTAGACTTCTAATTGTATAGACTAGTGGTCACTTGATGAGTGATGTGGTTAGCAGTTGCCTTTACTTCCAAAGAAATTTCCTGATACCCAATTAAGGCTGGGTTGACTTTTGAGCTAATGTCAGAAAATAAAACCTGCCCTGAAACTTTGGGCTGACAGGTAAGCATCTCATTCCAGCAAAAGTTGTTAGAGACATTCGAATGCTGGGCAGAGAGAAGACTATGGAAGATGATGCTGCTGTATTTACAAAATTGTTTTCATGTACCAGCATTCACATGTTAATAAAAATCTTTATATTGATATCAGAGTTGCGTGTGCACAATACTCCTTTGGTTTATCTTTTAACAGATATTTCTTCCAATGGATGCTTATTTCTTACATTTTTAGATTTTGACTATTTAATAACTATATATGACTTTTGTGTGTGTCCAGAAAATAATAAAAGCTTTCCCAAAATGTGCATTATAAACTGTTTTCTTATTGTTTGCTTTAGTACTACAGATTCTAACTAAAAAGTGCTTATTATTTATTCTTTCTTTCTTTCTTGCTTCCCTCCCCCTCCCGTTTCTCTCTTCCTCTCTTGCTCTCTTCTTCCTTTTTACTTTCAGTTAACTGAGAAAAGTGTGTGTGTGTGTGCGTGCACGTGGGAGTGACTGTGTGTGCATGCATGCCTGCGCATGTGTGTGTGTGTGGTGGGGGAACTGTAAAGATCCTCTGTGTGATCTTTCTGATATGAAAAGCACTTTAACTTGTGTTGTATGCCCGGCTCTCTAGCGTAGTTGGCTAAACCGGATTGCGCGGAGACCGGGTGACAAACTCCTTGTGGTCCGGGTTCAATCCTGGGGGTAGGCAGGAAAGCCACATTTGTTCCCAGATTTACAGTATTTAAAATGGAATCAAGGCCGAAAGGTTGCGATATCCATAATACCGAGCCTAAGGGTTAACAACTCATGGCTTCTGGAAACTAAAACAAACAACTTGTGTTGCAGAAATGCAGGAAACATATGAGGTCATCAGCCCATGTTGTCAAAGACATTCAGATATCCCACTACCAGGGAATATGCCCCCCCCCCCCCCCCCCTCCCCGGAAAAAAAATGTGGCTTAATTGTTGTTATTTCGGTTTTAGATATTCCCATTGTATCCTGTATGTTTTGCTGCATGGCTCCAAGTGGTGACACCAAAATTCAATGCATGCTACTAATCCCCATATAAATGGAACACCGTCTGCTCTGCAATGCAACAAGTGTTTCAAACTCCACCCCAGACCCATTCTTCATGGACAGTAGCTGCTCACACCCCTAGTGGGATGTTGTCTGAAAGCCCTGTTGATTTTTCTGAAACCTGAAGGGTATGTTCAATTCCTAAAGGCTGCTTTGTTTACTACTGCTAAACCTATAGATATACTTTTCATCTTTTGTGATAAAGTTACTAGGATAGGTTTCATTTGATCATGTCTCATATGAATCTGTTCAACAAATATTTACAAATGTATGAATCTTCATCTGTTTCTTCTTCTCTAGTCTTGTTCTGCTTTTCAGTCCCAGGTTTTGAACAGGCATCAGGTGCATACCTTAGTATGTGCTACGTAGATACTGGCATTTACGGCCCTGCATTTCCATCTATCCACTTCTTGAGTGGTCGACCTCTAGTAAGAAATCTATTCAACAAATACCTACAGATATATCTTCTTCTTCTTCTTCAACAAAAGGTATATGAGACAAAGTGTTCTGCTTTACAGCTAGATTGCAATATATGTCTTTTGACTTAACATACTCAGATTAAGTAGGGTCACCAAACAGGCAAGGAAATGGGAAAAAGATGGATTAAGAAAATAAAGACATCCAAGAGAAACCCTGAGTGAATGTTGATGAGAGAGGCCAAAGATGCTCAGCTGGATTCCTTCTATGATATCGTAGTGATTGGACAGGATAGAACAAAATGGAGAAATAGACTGTGAGCCTTACATGACACATAATGGCATAATAAGATAATGAATGAATGAATATTTATAAAAGTATGAGTGTACATGTTGAGACCCATACAGTACAAATGATAAAACAAAATCAGACAGCTGAAACACATTTCTTGTTTATGGCACTTCACTCAACATAGTCATCAATGATACACAAACATGACTGCAGTTAGTTAACAGTTTTAAAACAACAGCACTTTAGATTTGAATATAAGGAATCATTTCTGACAAGGCTATGTTCACAGTAATACTTT